ATTTGCAACTCGAAAACTACTTTTGGTTATGTACCAACAACAGAAAATCCAGCAGATATAGCATCGGGAAGATGTTCACCGGAGGAGCTTTTGAAAAATGCGATGTGGTGGGATGGCCCAAAATGGCTGCACTGCGAACGAGCAAAATGGCCAAGAATGGAGAATTTTGAGCAGTGCAGCAATGATGAATTTCACAGCGAAAAAAAAGATAAGATAAACGTATGGTATACGGCTACAAGAAGTTTTGGCGATTGTACCTTTTTGGATGACAGCCGATTTAGCACATGGAAAAAATTATTAAAGACCACTTTATTTGCACTTCGTTTTATCAACAAAACCAGGAAAGGAAAACCAGGAGTAATTAATAAAGTATCAGTGTAAGGACCTTATTCAGCTGAAGATTATAGTAGAGCAGAATGTGTTGTCCTACGACAAGCGCAAAAGGAAATCAGCAACGATGAAATAAATCGTTGGCAGTTGGTACTGGATGATGAAAGAATATATCGTTGTAGCGGAAGACTCTCTCAAGCTGATATTCCTTTAAGTGCAAAGCAGCCTATCTATAAGCCAAGAAACAGTCGTGTAACGGAACTCTTAATTTTGGACATTCATGAGAAAAATATACATACCGGAATACCACATACATTAGCTCAAATACGACAAAGGTTCTGGATACCCAAAGGAAGAAGCACGGTGAAAAAAATGATCAGAAGAGACTGTATGGTATGCAGACGTTGGTCGGCGAAGCCGTTTCGTTTGCCAAAGTTTCCACCATATCCCGAAAGGCGAGTTCATCGTAATAGAGTATTTTCTACAACTGGACTGGATTATTTAGGACCTATTAATGTAAAAACTTCATCAGGTCCTAAAAAACGCTGGGTTTGCGTGTTCATATGTCTGTCGACTCGAGCAATTCATGTAGAAATGGTGGAAAATTTGACATCGGAAGCGTTTCTGCATGTTTTGCGAAGATTTATAGCACGAAGAGGTGCGCCAGATGAAATTATAAGCGATAATGCATCTCAGTTCAAGTTGATAGAACAGGTACTTGACCATAAACATGAAAGCGTAATGGAATATTGTGGCCAAAAAGGAATAAAATGGAAATTTATAACTGCGTATGCGCCTTGGGAAGGTGGATTTTATGAAAGAATCGTGGGAATTACGAAGAATTCGCTTAGAAAAGCAGTCGGCAAAAAATATTTACAGGAAAACGAGTTAGTAACACTACTTGCTGAAGTTGAAGCTGTATTGAATGCCCGTCCATTAACGTACCTATCAGATCAAAGTATGGATACTATTAGACCTATAGACTTCATTATTCCTGCCGCGCAATTAAGCAAAGAATGGGATGAAGGTGATGATGGTGATAATTATC